CTTTGCCACCAAAGGGAACTTTTTTCACTCCTCCCTAAAGGTAATTGGTGGGCAAGGGCAGGTAGCACTGCTGGGGAATGACTGGAGAGATTTTTGACAGCAGAAGATTGTGGGATCCCAAAGGATCCTAGAAAGTCATTCTGCAACGTGTGCAAGCCCTAAAGAGAGGGAAAACATGACAGGAATGCTTTTCCTTCTGAGGAGTGGATCCTCTTAACACCCTGTAAGAATGAAAGATGTGTTCCCCTCACAGGGCAGCATGGATGATGAAGTCTCTCTGAGTGCCTATGTCGCTGCAGCACTGCTGGAGATGGGTCTGCCACTGCAGGTGAGCACACCCAGCTCCCTCCTGCTCCCTCCTGCTCCCTCCTGCTCTCCTGGGCATCACCACGGGGGTATGCCAGCTTGTGATTCTGGTCTTCTCCAGGCCATGAACTGGGAGGGAACTTCTGGGAATGAGTCCATGTTTGGTCAAATGATGAAGTCATTCCTCAAAAGAGCTTCAGCGATGGCTGTGGTGCTTGGCTAAGATGAATGGAGAAAGGAAGGGAGGAAGAAACTGGGGAATTCCAGATCGTCTCTAGTAATTTGGGGGAGATAAAGTGGAAGAGGCAAAAGTAGAAGGAGTAGGAGGGTTTTCACCTGTGAAATTACCGGGTAAAGCACTAAGTAGTACATAAGTATTATATCTGTGCAGACAGGGGCAGGGAGAGGAGCCACTGGGGTGGGTCCTGTGGACCATTTCCACTTTTAGGTTGATTTTCTTTATGAAAATTACTCTTGTTTTGCACCCCCACTATGTCACTAGTTCAGGGACAAGCACAAGGAGACCTCTGATTGTCTCTGCCTTTTTTTTGTTTGCCTCTTTTTCTTACAACTCATCCTCTTCCTAGGTTGACAGCTTTTGTACTCAAGAATTTTGGCCAAGCCAGAAAATACATCTACGTGGATGACAGGAACATCCAGGGTGCCCTCCGCTGGCTAGAGCAAAACCAGCTCCCCAGCGGCTGCTTTGCCACCAAAGGGAACTTTTTTCACTCCTCCCTAAAGGTAATTGGTGGGCAAGGGCAGGTAGCACTGCTGGGGAATGACTGGAGAGATTTTTGACAGCAGAAGATTGTGGGATCCCAAAGGATCCTAGAAAGTCATTCTGCAACGTGTGCAAGCCCTAAAGAGAGGGAAAACATGACAGGAATGCTTTTCCTTCTGAGGAGTGGATCCTCTTAACACCCTGTAAGAATGAAAGATGTGTTCCCCTCACAGGGCAGCATGGATGATGAAGTCTCTCTGAGTGCCTATGTCGCTGCAGCACTGCTGGAGATGGGTCTGCCACTGCAGGTGAGCACACCCAGCTCCCTCCTGCTCCCTCCTGCTCCCTCCTGCTCTCCTGGGCATCACCACGGGGGTATGCCAGCTTGTGATTCTGGTCTTCTCCAGGCCATGAACTGGGAGGGAAACTTCTGGGAATGAGTCCATGTGTGGTCAAATGATGAACTCATTCCTCAAAAGAGCCAGCGATGTGAAACTGGCCTGATGCAGTAGTGCTTGGTGGCAATGGCTCCCAGTGCACGCCAGGGCTGCACTGCCTGTTTTCTGAAGAGTCTGTAAATTAATGGGTTTCTCTGGAGCTATGTTGGGAAGACATGTGTGGCTCCCTGGAATGAGTTCCCCAGCCCTCTCTTTCACCCCTGTCAGAGTTTGGCATCTGTCTCCTCCCAAAACAGGGCAAGCTGATGCAGACTACTCTCCGCTGCCTGCAGAAGGTGGTTCACAACATCACCAACATCTACACAGAAGCCTTGCTGGCCTATGCCTTTGCTCTGGCTGGGGACTATGAGACAACCCAGGAGCTGCTGTACAAACTGGAGGAACAGGCCATCAAATCAGGTGCTGCCTGCTGGGATTCTGGACCAAAGTGTGCCCAGCTACAGCAGTAGAAAATTATATATGTATTTATAGATACTCCTTGTATTTGTGCAGTAACTGCATTGTGTGGCTGAAAAAGCAGTAAGGTATTTCACAAACTGTGAGAGTGACTTAGAAATAGTTTCCTCAGACTGGAGGATTTCAAGATCCCTTTGATGGAGGAGGAAGGAGTCTGTCAGCTAAAACGAGGTGAAGCCTTGGAGAATAAATTCAAGAAAGCAATCCTGGCCTGAGTACAGGGAATGTACTGAAGGAGCCCTGAAAGTGCTGTGGGATTTGTTTCCTCTGAAACCTGAATTTTGTCCTCCCTAAATAGCCTTCATAATCCTTTTCCTTCTGCAGGAGGACAAATCCACTGGAGCCCCAAGCCAAGCTCTCCAGCTTCCACAGACTTCTGGCCTGACACCCAGTCAGTGGACATAGAGCTGACAGCCTACGTGCTCCTGGCGTACCTCTCCAAGCCACGGGTGCACGCCGGTGACATGACAACTGCAGCTGGCATTGTGGCGTGGCTGACGCGGCAGCAGAATGCCTACGGGGGTTTTGCCTCCACCCAGGTAACCAGCAGCTCCCTGTGGATCCTTTTGTGGCCTAGGCTGGCAGCACAGGTCCTCTTGAGGAATTCCTGTGCCAAGCCAGTTCCATCGCAGCTGATGCTTTCAGAGCAGCGCCCGTCTCTCCCTCTCTAGGACACAGCTGTTGCCTTGCAAGCCTTAGCCAAATACGCAGCGAGGACGTTCAGCACCTCAGGCCAGGCAGTGGTGAGGGTGAGGTCCCAGAGGGCCTTCGGAAAGGCATTCCAGGTCAGCCGCCAGCAGCGGCTGCTGGTGCAGCAGGCAGCGCTGGTGGAGATCCCGGGGCAGTTCCTGCTGCAGGCCCACGGCAGCAGCTGCGTCTTCGCTCAGGTCAGGAGGTGGGATGAGCGTGGAGAGAGGAGGACTCTGCCTCTTTTCTCCTGCACGAGATCATGCCTGGCCTGTGTTTTCTGCTCCTGGCCCTTACCCTGCAGACAGTGCTGAGGTACCACGAGCGTTCCCCAGGGACTCCTGTGATCTTCACGCTGCGTGTCAGCACAGAGCTGAACAACTGCAGCCAGGCGAATCCACGCGTCCTCACCGTCCGCATCCTCGCCAGGTGACTCCAAGGGCTGCTTCCTCCTCCAGCAAGATGGAGTGAGCCCGGGGACAGCAGCCAGGAAGGTCTGAGCGCTCTGATGGAGAGACCTGGCCCTTGGGGTGAACAGGACAGAGGGTGAATCGGACAGGTGGAAGGCTAGGAGGGGGAAGGTGCTGGCTAAATCCTGTGAGAGGGAGCAGTGGCTGCCATGCCCCCAGTCCCAGCTGGGACACCTGGCTCAGGGCGTGGTGGTGGAGGGAAGAGGGGCTGGGAGGGCACTGTCCTCACAGAGTCAGACCCTCTGTCTGTTTTTTCTTTTCCAGCTATATCGGGAGCAGAGTCACATCCAACATGGTGATCATAGAGGTCTCCCTGCTATCCGGATTCATCATGACTTCCAGATCCAGAATGCTGGTAAGAACTTTGGAAAAAGAAAACCCAGCTGTGGTAAAAGGATCCTGCCTGCTTATTCCTGTTGAGAATTGTTCATTTCAGGCCAGGTGTAGCTAAATTTGCAGGGGACCTTTGCTGTTGCAATTGCACCGAAACTTCTTGTTTTCCTGCAGCCCCCACAAGGGGGATCAGAGGTGGTTCAGCTTCTCCCACTGGCAGTATTTAGATTTGGGCCAGGAACAAAGTGTACTGCTGGGTGTTCTGACACCAGGATTTGTTTGCCAGGAAGTCTAAGACAGGATTTCTCAGAGATACTCTAGCTCTAGCTAAAAATATTCTTTTGTTTGCCAATTAAATAATAAATTAAATCATAGCCCCCATGCAGATCTTTAAAAGCAGTTGAACACTCAGTGAGATGAAATAAGAATCTCTACTGGTGCCTGCACCCATTTGCTCACCAGCATATCAGTCATACATACTACCCACATAGCCTTTGGTCTCCAGAGGGGGAGATTCCCCTGCCCTGGGCAGGGTCAGTGTGACACTTCACACATGAGATGCTCACAAGGGATGTCCAAGAGGGAGTAGCAAGGATATAACCACTGAAAAATGCACAGTTCCACACAGAGTCCAGCTCTATACCTTCCCTCCACTGAAACACTGGCTCTCTCAGGTCAGGAATCCCTGAGGAAAATGCTCACAAATTTCATTCCATTATTGTTTCCTATCCTAGCTGGAGAACAGAACCATTGTTAAGAAAATAGAAGTCAAAGCTAATGTGGTCTACATTTACCTGGAGAAGGTAAGTGAGAACAAAAGCATTTGGTGTGGCACAGTGAGAGCAAAAGGTCAGAGGACAAGGAGCTGTGTGAGAAGCCTGAGGCTGGTCTAGGTAAGAAAAGAGCACTGGTAGAATTGGGGGCAGAGGAAGTTTGCCCAATTTCATTGTCATTGGATTAGAATAGTGCTATTCCTCACAATACTCCATTTTAAAGTCCAGAATCTCTAATGGAATAGAGTAATGTAGTGCAGGAAGACATTCAAATCAGGGAAGGTGAAGATGCTGTCACTTCTTTCTCCCCTTCCTTGCTAATTTCCTTCCATCTCCACTAGCTGAATGATGAATCTCAGACTTTCATTCTGCAACTGGAACAAGAAATTCAGGTGAAGAATCTGAAACCAGCCGGCATCAAAATCTATGATTACTACCAGCCAGGTGGGTTGCAGATTTCCTACTGCTTGGGGGTGGGGAGCAGGGTTCCTGATTCTCTGGCTGGGAAGAGACATGCAGCCTTCTCTGTGTGCATCCATGTGTAAACACCTTCCTCATTTCCTCATTTCCTTTTGCAGAGGAGCGAGCCTTGGCTGAATACAGCGCTGTCTGTAGTTGAGGTAGGCAGCAAGTTCCCATGCGACACCAACGGTGGCATCAGGAAATGGTGGGTCTTGGGCAGGAAACATGGAATATAAGCAAAGACAGGAAGGGGAATGGTAAGCAGTGGGGAACATGTACCCAGCTGGAAACAGGAAGTATCTCTTTCTAGGTCTATGGATCAGTTTTTTTTTAATGTTCTCTTTCCTCCTGTGCATGACTGCACCTGGAGGGGCAGAGTTTTGTACATGAGCAAGGTAGAGAGTTTATTTTTCCCAGCTGCTCTTAAATGCAATTTTCCTCATTTGGGAGAAAAACAGTGAACCTGAATAATCATTCAATCAGACAGTTCTAGTCTTCTACATTTAATAAGATGCCACACGCAGTCTGAGCCTTCCAGAAACTAACTGCTCAGCAGGAAATTCCAAGCATTTTCTCTTTTCTTCATATCTCCATGTGCTGACAGTTGGCAGGGGTGACAAAGGACTGATGGGAGAGACTGCAGGGGTGGAATCTATCCCTATTCCTGTGAAGACAATAAAGGACAAAAAAAAAAAAAAGTTCCTGAATTATTAAAAATAACCACTGGGAACTTAGTGGCCTTTTTTGCACCTTGTGACCAAATGGTACTGTCAGGCCAAGAAGGACAGAGCTCTTATCACCCAGAGGGTGGTTGGGCACTGGAATGGGTTTTCCCGGGAAGTGTCACAGCACCAAAACTGATGGAGTTCAAGAAGCGTTTGGAGAATGCTGTCAGGCACATGGTGTGACTCTTAGGGCTGTCCTGTGCAGGGACAGGAGCTGGACTCCATGATCCTTGTGGGTCCCTTCCAACTCATAATATTTTATGACCTAAGATTCTCTCTCAGTTTATCTATACAAAGCTTATGTCAGAATCTCCGGTAAGGGTGTGGAGTTGTGGCAGATATCCCAGGACAGGGCTGTGTGCCTCCCTACACGTGATTCACGGAGCAGGTGGTTTTCCCTGTCTTGTGGGCAGGAAAGCACACAGGTGCAAGGAAAGTTTAGCAGGGGCAGGCGTTGGTCAAGCTTAAGCTTTGTGTTTGCTCACCCTGGAAAGAGGATGGGCAGGTGTCCATTCCCTAGTGTGGATCAGAAGCCAGGCTGAGATGGAGAAAGGCTTGGCACTGAAACGTGGCCAGGCCCTGCAGTAAAGGTGAGCATGGCTCGTTGTGTGCACAGGGCTGGAGAGATGTGAAACTACAGGGAAAGTGCCAGGGAAGGCAACTGTGGTGACTTGAATAAAGTGTATTTGATGCAAAGGGCCAGGACTGGTGATAGTACTTGGTACATGCAGTCCTTGTTTTCTGGAACATATCCCCACCTTTGTCATGATCTTGTCACATCAAATCTTCTACTTCAGTTCTCTTTCCCTCAGTTTAACCACTGGGGTACAGAAACTCACCCTTACTTGGCATTGCCAATTGCTTTCTACCCTCGACCTGCAGTCTGGCAAGTTTCTTGACCAAGGGCCTTTGCCTGCACCTCCCTCCCCTTCCATATTCTTCAGGACCATGCCTGTGATAACAAAAGAGGTGTTGGGTGCTCACCTCACTTGCACGGGACACTGTAGCTCATCACTGCAGTTTCTTCTGGAAGACAAGAAAGAAAGTGCTGGTGAGACACATTGTCAAAAACCCAAAAAAGCAATCCAGCATTGTGCCACTGTTCCTTGGAGAGGTGTTCCCTCTGATTACAGGCTACAACTCCCCTCTACATGACGCATGAAACCGCTGGTGTGTGCCTGTGACTCTGCAGCTGGCCAGGATTCACCCAAGGCATAAGGCTGAAAGCCCCAAAGAGCTCCATCACAGTTATGAATTCTACACTTTCTCAAGGAATAGCAACCCCTGACACATTTCTAGCTTTTCTTTCCACCAGGAGCCCCACAGAACAGAGGACAAGTTGGTTTTTGTGTTATTCCTCTAAGGGGCCCTTACTCTTCTGAGTCATCCTCCCACTATGGTCCCTCTGCCTTTTCTGTCTCCCACGAAGTGCTCAAAAGCACAGCTCATTGCTCCACTCTTGTGGGGAGAGCCAGACCCTCGCTGGTTCTACACACCAGCTTCAGGCCTGAAGTTCTGGAGCCAGAGAGAGCAGGACCTACCATTTTGAAAACCAGGAGGTGAAGTTCATGCCTAGAGAGCTTCTAAGGGACAGTCAGATAACCATGTCAGAGATGGTATTGTCTTAGACTCAACAAAATTCAGAAATTTTCTTTCCAGAAGTACATTTGGGTGGTTTTTGCAGTATAGCACCTGAACTCACCTGGCATATAGTAATCATAGATCTTGATATTGGCTGGTTTATGATCCTTCACTTGCATGTCCTGCTCCACCAGGAAAGTGTAGGTTTGAGGCTGTCTAGTCAGCTAAGACCAAGAAATGCAAGGATTAAAAACAGAAAAGGACAGAAAAGTCCTGTAAGACAACCCCTCTCACCTACTTGCACTCAGGCTCTGTGAGACCTCACCACTGTAATAGATCTGTTCTGCTTTCTAGTCCATCTCAGAAATACCTTTTACTTCCCATTCTGTGACCGTCTCCCCTTTTTGGTCACCAAATTTAACTCAGCTCATGAGGAACATCAAAAACCTACGGAGTCAGTGTGCACTACCTAAATGGCGTGTTAGTGTTCCCACCAATCCCACCTTCCCATCCAGCTCTGCTCTGAGCTCCTTCATGCACCTGGCCTCAGTGGCTACTTTCTTATTCACAGTGACATCAGCTCTTATTCTCCAGTCTCACATAACCCTCATCATTAAGCAGACAAGTACAAGCTGTGGATGAACATCTGCTGTAGGGTAGTAGTTACATGACCTGCTGTTGATTGGGGTGCACCTTGTGTTACCTGGCAGCTTCAGCTGAAATATTTCTCTGTATTTTCTGCTCTGTGCTGTAGATGTAATGAATGCAGCAGCTCTGCAAGCCTAATGCATCCATGTGACACTAACCCACTTCCTATGGGGCCAGCTTATCTCAGCCTACTGACAGAAACTGAGGATGAAGGATCACAGAAATGCTCCTTAGAAATGCTGGAGTTTTAAATACACTCCAGGTCTCATTTCTGGTGCTGCTTAGGTATTCATGGAGCTAGGAAAAGGCTGGAGTGGCTGTCAATCTGTTGATTCATGAGGCTGTGGAGTGAGCACTTCTGTTCACACAACCATCTGGTTTGGTTTCAAACGGTCTTGGCAAAATCCATGAGCAATCTTGCATGCTCTCTGCTGCATTCAGGTTGCTTAAGAGCTTTTTAAGATTTCAGGCTTGCTGGATTTATTAGATGGATCTTATTACTACTCCCCAGTCCTACTCAGGCACCATATATATGGACTTTCAATAGTATCTGAACAGTGCCAATAACATGAGAGCTTGCCTTGTTTCACTCAAGTTAAGTAGCCCTGTAAGTGGCTCTACAGATGAACAACTGCACACTGACACTTCTCCAGATCAGCAAATGTGGTTGGTATGCAGGAACAACAGCTCTGGATAGTTAAAATAGTAATGAAACCAGTAAACAAGAATAAAAGCTGTCAGTCCGTAGCCCCTTTAATGATGATGTTAGCCCAAATTACACTCACTTCCTCCAGGTAGAGAACGACTTGGTCAGCTTTGCTTTCAACTTTCTTCACTAAAGGCATTTTCTTTAGCTGCAAATAGGGGAAAATATCAGAAAGGCTGTAATAAAAAGCAGAAATATTCAGGGGTGTTTGTCCTTGTGAGAGTACAGGCAAATATTTACACTGCCTGGGAAGCTGTTGATGTAGGGAAAGGCAAGGTGCAGCTTGGAAGAGACTTTGAATATAAGGATGTCTTAGGAAGAAAATAACCCTGTTTCTCTGCCCACAGGAATGATCACATTTCAGCATACAGTCCTGCATGATGGACATCCATCACTGTTCCCATCCCAGCTGGACACAAATTCAAGGTCTCACCTCTTCCAGTGAACCTGCCACGGGGCTGTATCCAGACAGCAGCTCCACTTGGATCAGGACCATGTTGGTGGACACACGGTTCCCTGTGTAGCTGCAGCAGGAACCCAGGGGACAGCACTAATGTTACTTTCTGAGCCATGATCTGCAGATGCTCCAGCCCAGCTTTGGTACTCAGGTGGAGGAATGTGCCTTTCTTTCCAGTGTTCCTCCTGTAAGCATACCTGTTTCTGCACTGTAATAAATCTTTGTGCTTCCCTTGATCTCGCTTTTAATTGTGCCAAGGAGAATAAGTTCCTTGGAAGTTCCTGGTGTTACCTTCTTTAGCATGGCAGGGAATATCACATCCTATGCCTGTTCTCTTGGCAGTTCTGTCCCAAGCCAGCTGGGAGTACAGCAGAGGAGAGTGGTGTGACAGTCAAACAGGAGCAGAGGAGGGAACACTTAGGAGTATGAGGCAGTCCCACAGGACCTTCACATCATTAGTGTTTTAATACCTAGTCCTAGAGAGGGGTAAGACCCACAGACCTTGGGAGAATTTGTGGTGAGGGGCAGGGGACAAGCCAGGATTACAGCCTGAGCCACCCCTCTGGGGCCTTGTGCCTGTCACCCCACTGGGGAGAGCACAGTGGGGTCACCTCAGCACTTGCACCCCACGAGCGAAGGGGAACCCTGCCAGCAAGAGCCTGGTGTGGTGCCAGAAGCCTCTTGGCACAGGGGAGGAAAGGGGCAACTGAGTGGCTCCTACCGGGCACGAATGGTGACAGGGAAGCGGGTGGCATCAGGCACGGTGCACTCTGTCTGCACGGATACGGCAAAGGTGGCCTCGCTCCTCAGGGGAGGGATGTGGTACCTCAGAATGGCCTGCCAGGACAGAAAGAAGCTGGATGGCAGAGAACAGCAGGTTTTTGGTTTTTTTTGGTTTTTTTTTTTTGGTTTTTTTTTTTTTTTTCTTTTCTTTTTTTTCTGGAGAGTATTCTTGTCTAGACTCAGCTACTGTTTGCTGTCTTGTATTGGTGTAAGAGGAAACCATGCGGCAGAAGCAGAGGTTCTGCTAGTAGTGCACTGCTCCTGGTGGATTTCTTGGAGCAGAGGAGCTGCTCTGGCTGGATGGAGATGATCCGGATTTCATTTGGGAGTAGATGTTACCTTCCTGTTGGATCACAGTTATCCCAACCAGCCTTGAAGCCCAGATGTTACTACATCTTGCATGTTACCTGCATAACTACATCTTGCGTGTTACTACAGCAGTTTGTTTCACTGTTGGCTAAGTAGCAAGGTAAGATGTTCTCTGGCTTTCAAGGCTTTTCACCAGACAGACTTCTTCTTCCTGGCTGGGCTTACCTGCAGGAAAAGACACCCATGGCCCTGCACACGCAGGGTATAATCTTGGGGAATGGCTGGCAACTCCACTGTCTGCAGCAGGAGGCGATTGCTTTTGTCTACTCGGAAGTTTTGGCTGAACCCCTTGGAAGTGAGAGAAACCTGAAGATCAGGGCTATCCTTGCTGAAGATGTTGGTTGCATACAGGGCTAGGGCTTCCAGAGCAGCAACCGTGTCCTGAGGAAAGAGAAAAACATCAGGAAAAGTGGGATTCCTGCTTCCTATGCATGCCCAGCCCATAGCCTTTTCCTCCCTCATACTGCAGCTATAGCACAATAGGGGTTGAGCTTTTCCCTCTGGATTTTAGCATGGGATTATCCACAACTCCCAGGACTTGTAAATCCATACATCCTTTTTTAATTTATTCATTTTTCTTTTTTTTAGTATGGGCTGTTAGAACCCACTGCTCTCAAAAAAACAGCATCAAATCTGATGATGATGATGATGATGGCTCAAGGGGATTACCTGGGTTGAAGCAAAGCCTCCATATGGGTTTTGCTGCTTGGTGAGCCAAGACACAATTTTGGATGCCTTTTTGATTTCATCTGATGACAAACTTGATTTTGTAAGGTGAGCCATGAGGATACTAGATGTCAATTCCACATCAACAGATGGAGCCCGATACCAAGATAAGGAATCTTCTTCCTGTTTGGACTGTTGACTCCAGAATATTTGGTCACCTAGAGGTGGAGCGGGAACATTTATGGAATGTGTATCTGTATCTAGTGCCCCTGGAGTTCTACTTAGCCCCTGTGTATAGGTACTAAACAAACATGTACATTGGGATAATACACATGGAGAAGATACACGTGCATAGCTCCCTGTTTGCTCCCCACACCCTGCTTTCCCCAGCAAAACCTTAGGCCTGCAGGCTGGGGAGCAGCTCCACAATATCCATGAAGCTCCCCTGGTGTGGGTGACTGGGAGGCCAGGACTGTGAGATGATCCACAGAGACAATCTGTCTCACAGCGTGGATATAACCTGGGGCAGCTTGGCAAACTGAGGCTTGGATAGACAAGCCTTGGACTCCTCACAAAGCTCTGGCAGTACCTGCCCCCCCCCTACTCCTTCCCTCCATTCCAATGGTTGTTCAACCCAAGGATTTCCACACTGTTCTGCCAGTGGCCCTCCCTCCTGCCCCAGAGTCTGTGGTACCTGATATTATGGCAGCCTTATCCAATCTTTTGAGGATTTTCTGCCTGAGGGCCTTGTCCCCTGCCACTGCAAAGGCGTTTGCAGCCAGTGCCAGGCTGTAGAGGTTGGGACTGCCAGTATCAGCATGGACCAGATCCCTTATACACTTCAGAGCTTTCCCCACAACTGGGTCCTAGGATACAATTGAAAGCACTCTCGTTAAGGGCAGCGTGTTTGGGAAGGGAATGCAGATTGCACGTGTGCAGAAGAGGGTGGAAACCAAAGGCAGAGCCCAGGCACTGCCTGCAGGAGGCTGCACACACAGCCCGCTCCTGCTGCAGATACTCACGGAGTGAGGCATCCCCGAGTGTATGAGAGCTATCACAATCACAGAGCTCAGCCCCAGGCCTTCCTCCACTGCACCCTGCAGACACCACAAAGCACAGAAGAGGGATGCTATGAGAATGGAGAGAGGAAAGTTTTGCAGTGCCTTCTGGTCCCCCAGCAAATGCCAGCATAGGCAACAATGCTGGTCCTATTCCTTCTCCTAAGGAAGCGACAGGACTGGTATCCACTTTTAAAGGTCCTGCTTACCAGAGCACTTCTCTGCCAGGGCTCCTCAGTCTCTACTGGGTAGCTGATTCCCTCCCCCTGCTGAGCACAGTCCCCTTTCTCCTCCCAAACGTAAGATTTTCAGTAGCAGATTTCAATGCCGGGGGAAAGTGATGATCCCACAACCCCGCTGCAAGGTGGCAAGTGTTAGCCCTTGAGATGGAGGGAGGGCAGGGCACTGTTTCAGTTCCCAAGTGCACATCATCGAATGCAAACCTTCATCACTCATAAATTGAAAAAGTGACCCAGTAACTAGGTAACCCTGAGTGTCACCCAAGGGCTCTTCCAGCCTTCCTCCTGCAACAGAGTTCATTTGTTCTTGGCACCCAAACTGGACCAGAGAGTGAAGGAGCTCTAAGGTACCTAATGAACCACCAGGACATGTCATACCATCAGACCATTGTTGAATAGCTTCCCCACGCTCTTGAAGCAGCCAGATGGAGTCTGACTTTTAATCAGGGCACTGGCAGCGTCCTTTATGTTTTGTTCATCTATGTGGATGAAGTCCCGGGCTTGGCTGAAGGTCTTCAGGACAAGAGCAGTAAGCCTAGAGCCAAGGAAGGAAGAAAGATATAGACCTGAATTGCCACTTGATGCACGTCTCCAAGAGGAGACAGGAGTCTCTGTGTCTTCTACTACATCCTCCTTGTAGAAATACCAGCAGGCCACAGCCCCTGTGCAGATGGAGAATTGGAAGCAATGCACATGAGGTCAAGAAGCTTGAGGTCAGAACCATGTGCAGTAAGAGAGAAAAAATTCAATTTTTCAGGCCTTCAGGGCTCTGCTAATTCCAACAGGGTGCTTTGTTGCCCTGGAGGGCTGACATTTAGTGGAGAGAAAAAATTCAATTTTTCAGGCTGCTAATTCCAACAGGGTGCTTTGTTGCCCTGGAGGGCTGACATTTAGTGAGCTCACTCAGACCCATTCCCAATCCTGTTTGGGCACCAAGCATTCTGAAAACCTGTAAAGAAGGTGCCTTTGCTGCCAAGTTTTCAGAATCAGTCTCGTTTGAGGTGCCCAAGAACAAACAATCCAACAGGGCTACTTCAGGTTAGTTTATTGTCACATTTGATAGAGGTGTTCCATAGACTAAGAGGAAGATTTTGCATATTTATCAAAACAGATAAATAGGGAAAGTGATGGCATACTGGGGAGCCTGGCATGACATAAATGTTATGGAGTGAGAGATAGATATTGCTCTGGTTTCAGCTAGAGTGGAGTTAATTTCTTCTCAGTAGCTGTTACAGTGCCATGTTTTGGATTTGGCATGAGAATGGTGTTGAGCAAACAGCTGTGTGCTTAATTTCCACCTGGGCTTAAGCCACGACACCTTCCAAAATGCCTTCCAAAATGCAATTTCTATTCAAAACTCCACACCTTCAGACTGCCTCAGTTTCCCCAGACCAAAATCCAAGCCAGCTTGAGCCTGACCAGATCAAACTGTTGTTCCCCAGTTATGTCTGGATATCATTGCTTACCAAGTGTTTCCTGGCTCACTTCCTTCCCCAAAGGCACTGTATGAGCCGTCTGTGTGCTTGTACAGGAGCTGCTGCTGATATCCTGCAGGAAGAGGCTGGGGGTAGTGAAGATGCTGTGTGCCTGTCCTGTTCTCCAGGAGCCAACCTGCCCCACCAATCCTGCTGATCATTACAGAGAGCATTATCTCTGAGGAATTTAGCAGAGGGGTGCCGTGTACTGCTTGTGCCGCTGACATGCACTAGCCTGACTTACACTGCTGCAATTACCATGATGCCAGGCAAGTGATGCTGCACAAATCCTGCTCAGCACCAGGCCTCTGCTGAGGCTTCTTCCACACAAGCACTGTAGTGGACATCACCAGCTTAACAAGTAGGAATTCACTCACCGCTTTCCAGGTAGCCAATTGCCTTCTGTTTGATTTCTGGAGTCAGCTGTCCTGTTTCTTCAAGGTATCGTGTGATAAAGACGTTTGGGGCAAAATGAACCATGTTCTGCTCACCACAGCCACTGGACATCTGGAGAAGCTCGTCTATGTTGTCCAGTGCTGTTCCCATAATGTCACCTGTAGGACAGAACCACAGCTTTGGGAGCCATACGCATTCTTGCATGTAAAACAACTCTGGTCTCTCAGATTCTCCAGGTAACCTGCTAGGACTGATCTCAGTTCACCTCTGCTACGTGATGTCTACAGACTGTAGGGACAGTGGTTGGGTACTTGGCTGTCTTTCCCCTGGCTTGGTGAATTTATACATCCATCCAGTGCCACTTGTATAGGAGAGACAGGATACTGCTCTGGAAGACAGTACCACACCTTGCTGTACATATTCTCTTTCATTACTTTGTTTGCTAAAGAAGACACAGTGGCACCACAAGAGATGTGTCCTGCAGGGAAAAATATTACTTCCCAAGACTCTTCTAAAAACTCACCTAAGAAAGAGATGTGGGCTCTCTCTGACCCGAGGACAGTGTTCTCTGGCATAGTGAAAGAGATTGTCTCTGAAGCTGAAGTTCCTGCAAACAGCAAAAACATCGGAACAACAGGCATGAGGAAGATGGCAGAGTCACAGGTGTCCCCCAGGAGATGGTGTAAACACGTCTGGGATCACCTCATCAGTTGGTGAAATCAGCATTCAAAAGAGAGGATCAGACAGAGCTCCAGCCACCCATTGATGGGGGTCTGTGATGTGGTTAGGCTGTGGCTTGATGTTGCCAGGAGCTTTTAGTAGGGCTGAATGGCTTTGCCTACCCATAAAAGCTCCAAAATCCCTGACTTTCTGCTCCCTACACACCTCCAGAGAGTCCCAGAGATGTTCAAACACCACAGTGCTTCCATCTGATCTCTCTGTTCTGTGCACAAGCACAGCCCCAGTAAGACAGTACTTGGGGGTCTCTGCACCTACCTTCAGGGCACAGGAGTGAGGTGTGGGTCTTTTCCTCCAGCTGCCCCTCTGCCTGGTGGGGAAAAGGCTGGTCAGCTCAGAAGGGAAAGAGGTAAAATCAGAGAGCAGTTGTACAGCACCCCACCTTTGTGCAAGCACCTTTTTCATCCTCGTGGGCCTTGGCAAAGGACTTCACACAGACAGCAGAGAAATCCATGCCAACAAGTGAAGTTGTACTGGGAAGCAGGTTTCTAAGCTGCTGCATGGCCTTTGACCCCATTGCCCTGCCAGCAAGCAGTTCTGACATTTCTGTCCCATCCAGTGGAGGAGCTCCAACCCAATCCACCCTTAGAAATGCGCCCATCTCCCCAGCTGACTCTTCCTTCCCAGAGCCACCCACCAGACTGTCTTGAGCCCAACCCAACTCCAGCCTCTCCAGAACCCTGCAGTGCAGCCTGACCTTCACCAGCAGGTGTTTAACCACTGTGTCCTTCCCTCCGGACTCCGGCACAACAGCTGTACGCTCCGTGCAAACATTTTCCTGCTCCACCACCTCAGCAGTGACAGTGAAATTCACCTTCCCTAAAAAACAAAACATCAAGAGGCTGGTTGACATATCTGTGCCTATGTTTTAGTTTGCTTAGCCTCGGGCTGCTCACTCATGCTTTGCACAGGAGGCCAGTCTCCCTTCCAGCCCAGCTCTGGCTTCCTCAAGCAGCTCTGCCAGTGCTTCCCACCCCTGTCCCTCCCTTGGCCCCTTACCTAATTTTGTAGCCTTCACATCCCAGGAAAATGTTTTTGCTGAATCAGGGCACAGGCAAAGAGTGAACTTGACATTTTCATGAAGAAACTCAAAATCCTTGGAGTCCATTAGGCTAAGGTGGAGCTAGAGGTAAAACAAAAGGGAGTTCAGGTTACAGAGCTGCTGTTGCTGTGTTTTTCCATTCAGGTCCTTGATTCAAATGACAGTCAATCCCACAAGCCAGGGGTGAGTGTGTTGATGGCCTGTTGCAGTATCTGTGGGACACCAGCAGTGTCCCATGGACATGCAATCCACATTTGTAAGGTTTGGTTTCTGGGGAGGGATAAACTGGTCAGCAATGGCTCTGTGTGGAACTTAATTGAACAACTTCTTTGGTGTCCTTTGCCCAGTGCCTAAGCAGGCAGCCCCTCTGTTTGGATCTCTGTTAGTAAAGGAGTTCCCACACATTCCTTTGCTCCAAGCCATCCTGGAGGCAGCCACATACTCACTGCCATGCACTGCTTCAGGTAGCTGAAGACTTTGACTTTCAGGGGAAACGACTCTCCCCGGAAAACAGAATAGGGCAAAGTGGGTTCCACGAAGAAGGGCTTGAAGCTCCGCAGGCTGGTGGTCTCTGAGATTCCCAAGCCATGGCTCTCCGAGGTGCAGAAGGTCATGGCTCTCCAGTCTGTGATACTGTCAGGTACTGTGACAGCTAGCTCAGCAGCTCCTGAACCACTGAGGAGAAAAGAGAGTGGAAGAGGTTCTCCCCACCCTGGAAAGATTTCTCTTGGGAAGACAAATGCAGAAATTCAGACTATGAAACAGAAGTGCATGTGAAGGCATGGGGATTCCTGGCAAGGAGGACAGAGGTATGGGAAGGACGGCAAATAGGTGGGCAAGGAATGACTTAAGAGGAAAATGCAACCCAAAATTTGGTTCTGAGCAGCGCTGCACAGAGGGCTCACAAGGGTCCGTGTTATACGCTCAGTCTGTGCCATCTTCTGAGCAGCGCTGCACCTGAAATTCTTCTTTTGTGTGGGCACAGAGGGCTCACAAGGGTCCGTGTTATACGCTCAGTCTGTGCCATGGAGTATAGTGTGACACTTCCTATTGGGAAGGTGTGGAGACAATGGAACATGTCTCTTCTGAGGTGCATATTGACAGTAGAAAAAGTAACACAGCGTGAACGTGGGAGATTCTGATTTGACATAAGAAAATACCATGAGGACGGTCAAACACAGAAACACAGTTTGAGGAATCTCTGTCCTTGGGGATACAGAGTACTTTACTACAAATTGATCTAACAGGACCTGCCTTGTGTAGAATGTTGAGCTATGGATCTGAGGAGGCCTCTTACATCCTGCAAGAGTGTGTGATGTTAAATTCCTAGAAGCATTTGGAAAATCTCAAGCAGAGACAGGAACTGAACCAAAACTTCATTGTCCTTATCCACTTCTTCATCCCTCCGTCTTTTACTTTTGTGCACAGAAGGCACTGTGTCTGCTCCTGCCCATTCCCTCTGCTGTGTCTGGTAGAAAGTCTGTATCCCTGTGGAGCCACAGCCTGTAATCACTCACTTGATGGGAACCAGAGTCCAGATGAATGTCTCTGGGAACCAGGTACGTGCTGGCGCTGACTCGCTGCCCAGCTCGGTGTGCTCTGCCTCAGCAGCTTCAACAGCAACATCTGCTTCTGGGTACAAGCTCTCCAAGTCTGCCAGCTCATCAAAAGCTGTTGGGAATACAAGCATTCATTCAAAGGCAGAGCAACTGTGAAACCAGGATGGAGTTCAGCCAGGAAGAGCTCAGTTCTCCTTCCTTCTCACTCCCAGCCCAAACCCCCTTGTCCTTTCCAATATGCCCTCAACTTCATTTTTGTCTTCACAAGACAACCCAGGAAGCCAGGGATGCGTGTGCTCCCTAATGAGACATTTTACCTGCTCACAGTTTTGCTCTCATTCCCTGCAGAAAAGCCTAGATACTGCCCAATGCCATTCTTGGTCCATTCTCTGGTTTCCAGAAAGACCTCTCCTAGTCGTACAAACAGATTTTCTTTGCTAAGGCAGAAGCCCCATTTCCCTCCTTGACCATATTATCTTCCTGCTCACCAGCTGAAGCTTCCAAACAGGTTCAAACCCTGCAGCCACCCCTCTGCCCCTCCAGTGCTCTGGACACACACTCCTGCAAGGGCTATTCCCCTCTCCCTGTGGAGCACATCTCCTGTACAGCCTCCCAGTCACTCCTGTAAGCCATCCCCAGCTCCTAAGAACACTGCATGTTCAGCTGCCCGTGTGCAGCCTATATGTTACCCGTGATCTCCAAAGAAACAGGAAAAATCGAGATGTACACATGTAGTCGTAGTCAAAAGTGGTCTGGGTGCGGCACTCAATTGGAGACTTGATTTTAAGGCTGGTTAAAAATGTTAGACCTGCATTCTGGAGGAAAGAAGTGGGAGAAAAGAAAGTGTATTTCTGTGGAGGGGTTGATGTGCCTGAGGATCTGTCTCTACCCCCTCCTCCCAGCACATCACAGCTACTCTGTGTTGTTGCACCTCAGCACAACCTGCAAATTTATATCGGGAGAGAAGGCAGAACTGTCCTGCTCCCAGAGCCTGGTCCTCATGCCAAAGGATTGTGGGGGTGACCACTTGCATGTGCATGCCTGTACACAAAGCCAATTTTTTGGCACCACAGTTTGCTGCCCACCCTAACCCAGACTATTCTTTATCCTTCACTGCCACTCCCTTCTACTGTTCTTTCTCTCCTTTCCCTGGGTTCCCCTTTTCTCTCAGGTGCTTTGCTTCTCCAACTTCCAATTTTCTCCATCACAGGCTGAGAATCCACTCTGCTTCTAATCCCTAGAAACTCTAAAGAGGACTAATGGGGAGCTGGGTTCTGGGAATCTGCCTGATCAATGGGAATTTATCATAGTGAGAGCATACAGTGTCATTGATCTCTTAGTTCAGAAGCAAATTCAGATTGTGAAGTCACCAGCATTTATAGGAAAAACAATCTGTTAAGCTATCTGGTGCTGACATGGGATACAAAAGGGCTCAGCTCTGATATTTCAGGCTTTCTGGAAATTAGATTTACCTTCAGAAGTTCATAAACATCTGGTTGGGACACTGCATAAGAGTATCTGTTGTACATGAACGGTGACATCATTCCTGGTGAAGGGGTTGTCTGAGAGGCATCAGTGATTCCTGGGCTCTTATGGATGGTGCAGTAGTCACTGTAGATATCTGTGAGGGTGCTGAGCTGCTCCTGAGCATAGCTGAACATATTATACACCTGTAGAGAGAGAATGAAAACAGTACAGGTCAGTGTGAGGGGTGGGGAGATCTTAATTTCTATCCAGATATTTCCTGTGCCCTCAGAGGCCGAGCTCAGGTCCCACCTGTCACAAAAACCCAGCCCCAAGGGGTTTTGAATTTTATGGAGAGCTTCCACAAATTTTGGATGTATAGCACCAGAGAAGAACATGAGCCCCTCTGGGGTATGGCTGCATAGCTGTGGCCACTTCTAGCTTAACAATTGTACCTGTGAACTGAATGCAAACACTAAGGGCACCTTCCCTGCATGGGGGAACACTGGACAGCTTCTTGTCTGACTGAAGACACATCCTGGATCCACCACGACAGTGTCAAGAGGCAATTCAGGTGTCCTTAGACCGAGGTCTAGAGGAGAACAGGGACCCTTCCACTGCCAATACACCACTTAGAGGCCACTCTGTGAATGGAACCTGGTTCACCTGAGCTGGAACAAAGACACAGAGCTTATCCCATGTTTGGCATTTTTTTTAACATGACTTTTTTTCAGAGCATTGTCATGAATTGGTTCAGGAGATGGATGTCTCTTGCCTTCCGCTTGCCACTGTGGTAAAGCACAAGTAAGTGTGCTTTTTTAAAGTGTAAGTTTAACCAGGATGTGACTTCAAGCTGTAGCTGGGGATGACAGTGGGTTATTCTAACAGAACACACCCTCTGTAAACACTGGAAATTTTGGCTGGTGTTTGATGTTGGCCATCATTTTTTCTCATTAAACCATGCCCTGTCCCCATTCAAGCACTTGCTGGTACATCCACCATGCCTTATTAGCCAGCAAAGGTCAGCACTGGAGTGACTCACACTATCCCTGGATAGCTCAGCCTCTGGCCTCAGGAGAAGGACACTTTTGTCTACTGCACGGATGCTGCACAGGGAGCCTGGTGCAGCCTGCAAATGGAGATGGACAGTCGATCCTGGGAGAGCCACTGCCTCTGAGAAGCCAAGCTCCACCTGAAACAGCAGAAGAAAAGGGGACTGCAGGCACTGAGAGATGAAGGAAAGGGGAAGCCGTGGTTATTGGATTCTGCTGCATGTCTCCTGCCAGTTTGCAGATCATTAGCCACCCTCCAGCCTACCTGCCCCTCTATGCTTTGTGCACTGCTTACGTGGTTCCTGAAGCAGCTGGAGACTTTCAGACGGAAGGTGTCAGCTGCCACTTGTCCCTCAGGGAAGGCAATGTAAACAAAGAGGGTAGCCATGGATGAAATGAGGTCAATGGGCAGAGAGATGTTGAAAGCCCCACTGTACTGACCTGAAGGATGAAGGAAAAATTAAAAAAAATATGGCAAGGTGCAAGGAAGTCTTCAATCCAAGGATTACAGCAGCAATGTGCTCTTCCTCTGTAATACTTCTGTACAGATTTTTACATAAAAACTATTCTGCCTTGCTTCTGGGAAGGCCACAGCTAGGCTAGGATGGAGGTTTTTATAGCAGTGACCTTGTATCATGACACACCTTGGCAACAGTGAGCACTTGGAAGAGAAATGAGTCTTTCTACTTGAGCCCAGAAAGACTCCATAAGTTACTTTGGCATTTTCTTGCTTGGCAGATAAACTCTGACAGTTTCATCATTTGATCAGCAGAAAAAAAAGAAAAAAGGAAATTAAAAGACAGAAAAAAGACAGCACATTTCCTATAGGTTTTTTTGTGCCAGCTTTGTGGTTTCCTGTTAGTCTCAGATCTCTTTTGTCTCCTTCTCGATGTAGGCTGGAAAGACTTTCTTGTTGGATCCTTAATCTGTTCCTGGTTGTTAGATGCTCTTACCTGATGGTGGATCAAGAAGCACTGTTGTTTGGCCATGATGCACAAGGGACCCTCTGGCCATAACCTAAAGGGTAATGAACAGAACAAAGGGTTGAGAGTGCCTTTGCTCCACGTTTCTGGGCCAGCAAAGGGCCCTGTGCTGACACAGACCGGGCTCAGAGCTGACCTCGCTGGCGCTGCCCGCACTCACCAGGTGGTAGAAGCGTGCCCTGGCAGCCCGGAGTCCCAGCTCTGTGCTGAGTATGTGGTAGTGCACAGTGACCTGCTGCACATCCCCACAGGCTGGCACTGCCTGCACGGGCTGGATCCTCACGGAGCTGCGGCTGGAGGAGTAGAAGGCCCTCATGGGGAGCGATGCCGTGCCGTAAGAAACCTTCACGGTTCGACTGTTCACGTCCTCCGGCTGGGACTTTGCCTGTGGCACAGAAAAAAGTGTGTGAGGATTTCCTGCAGCTCTTCCTATGCCAAAACCAAGGCTGACTAAGCAGCGGGCTCTGAACTATGCCAGCGTAGGGTGTCTACTTCCACCTACACCAAGTTCAATCAGTCCTCTTCTGCATTTGCCTGCTGTACCACACTCTGGGATAACTAGTGCCTAAACTGGAGCAGGGAGCTGTACACTGCTAGGGCGTTAGCTGAAGTCTGAAATTCTGCCATGCTGCTGCTACCCTGGGAGCAAGCCAGATCATTGGACTATGTGAAGTGGCTTATCAGCTCCTGGATCAAACCACTGAACTCTTTGCTTCTGTCTGCTCTATGTGGGTAATGTATTAGCATGGATCTGCCCTTATAATGTATTTCAATTCTATTACTTGCTTAGCTCCAGGCTGATTTGCAATAACTGGTTCCTAACCTGTAATATAACTTTACTGCTGTTGTCCCATGCTGATGTCTCTAAGACGAAGGAGGCCATCCCAGTGTCATCTGTGAGGTAGGTCTTGGTCTGCTTCCTGCTCCCATAGGACACGGTAAGAATCACCTTCTTGTTCTTCAGGGGTGTCCCACTGGCACTTCTGAGTTCCAGCTGTAACAATGCAGAGAACAGTCAGAGAATTGGAGCTCTCAGGATTGAAAATCCACCTCCCAGTAGAAGTCCCAGTCCCCCTCTCTGCAAAGGGACTCAGTGTGAATTTTGACCTCTCCAACCCTTCCTCATTTATGCAGCAGCCATCTCATCTGGCAAAGCCACAGATCCTGCAGTCACACCTTTGGATAACGTCTTGGTAGAGATGTCAAAGAAGGGACTGGGACACAAGATTTGCTGGCAGCGTTGGGCAGTTCAGAACAAGGGGACCCCTGGGCACTTCTGTGCCCACCACCTGCTTAGGCCCAGCCACTGGTCTTTCCACGTTTCTTCCCTTTTCACTCACATTTCCATAGTAGGGAGCTCCTTGCTGGTAGTAGTAGCTCGTCCCCCAGAACTGGAGAGTTGTGATATCAAAAGTGACCTTGCAGTTTTCAGTGGTGTTGAACTCCACTCCTGGGAAAGACAGGAGGCACGTGCAGGTGAGTAGCATGTCTAAGCAGGCATCAAGACTGGATAAACTCAGTTAAGGTCTAAGCAGGCATCAAGACTGGATAAACTCAGTTAAGGGGTGGACCATCACTCATAGGGCACTGCAGTTTCTCCATGCAGCTTCAGGAGTCATTTAACACACACGCACTCGGCTGTAGTGCCTCCAACACTCTGATGTGACAGAATGACAGCAGTCTATCTGGAGGTCTCTCTGTCAGACACTTCTCAAACACTCTTTCCCACTTTAAGATGGTCCTACTCATAATTGTCCTCTTCCATTCTCCTTCCCTCCTGACAGCAGTCATTAGAAGGCAGCATTTTTCCTTGCCTTTCCCATGTCAGTTTGCAGTCTGGTGTCTCATCCCGTATGCCCATCTGAAATCACTGCAGCCGTTTGTTAAGTGAATGTGTGTCACTGCTTCTGGCAAGGGGCTGAGAAACATTTTCTTCACAGGAAGAAAAGGAAGGCCTTGCAAAATCTTGTGAGAGTGGGAACCTTATAAGAAACATTATCTCCCTATCTGGGATGTAGAGATAAATCTAATGAGGAGCTAGTAACAGCACACAGTCAGGGCCTTGGCTATCTCTAGTTGCTCTGAATAACATCTCATTCCAACTGACTGTCCTAAAATATGGTTTAAGAACAAGAGAACCTGGCCTGGCCCACCTCTGTACACATTTTTAATGTGATGAGAAGACAAGAGAAAGCAGCTCTTGCCCATCTCTGGCAAAAATGACTGCCAGAGCAGGCATCAAGACTGGATGAGCTCAATTATCTAATAAATAAAAACACAAAGAAAAGTACATTTTACGAGTGTATAATAGAAGATTTTTCACAAAGTGTAGAATCAGTTTTTTCTACCTGTTCCACTTTCTTTCAGAAAAGCCTCAGCCTCCAGATTGAAATCATAATTATCACCATGCTTCCGGTGGAAAATCTTAGTATTCACTTCAGTGGAAAAGCAGCCGTCCTCATTTGTCTGGGAATATGAAATTGTATTTGTTAACCAATCATGAAGGCAAAAGAGCATTCTGTCTCTTTGCCCTCTTTCCTCCCTTTTGCAAGAGGGGTGGGTGTCTCCCGTGCTCACCTCGCCGGTGTAATCCTTACAGATGCTGCGCTTGGCTTTGGAAGACTTCCGGTTATAGCGGATGTGTTTACGGCACACCACAGCCCTCACGCTGCCCTGGACTGCTTTCCCATAGGTGTACCTGGCAAAGGGGGCACAGAGGGCTTACACTCACACAGAAACATTGGCTCAGCAGTGAGTAATGTCAGCTTTACCCTGCGGTTTGCTGCCCAGCAGCCTGCAGTATATTCATGGCCACCAGCTCAGCAGAGGAGGCCAAGAAGTACAAATGGCCTCATCAGATTGAGACAGAAGGCACTGGTGGCCGAGTTCTCTTCAAGACAACACTAGTCCCATCAGGCAGGGCTTGGGGATGCTGTGTTGGCCACAAGCTGAGCCGTTACTCCTACAACCCTGTCACTAACAAATACAGCAGAGGTGCTGTATTGTAGGGCACAGGCTGCACTGAGGGAATGCGCTGCCACACTCTCAGACTCACAGAGAAAGTAGGGAGAGAGAATATGGAGAAAGGTGAGAGTCCAGGAGAATTGCTTGGCAAAGGATGACGGGGTACCAACTCTTGGGGTGCGGGTAGGGTTGGCAGAGACCATTTTGAGCTCAGTTATTGATGGCTGTGCATTTTCCAAACCAGTAAAAATGCACCTTCTGCCACGATAAGTCAGCTCACATGCCACAGACGTGGAGAGGGAAGTTTTCCTCTAGGATGGTGACCACCTGAGGCATCTGGATGGAGACACTGAACTTGGGCAGCACTGTGTGAAAGCAAGAGAAAGATAATTCAGTGAGAATAGAAAGACTTAATTTGCTCCAATCCTTCCAAAGTGGCTGTGTACAGAAAAAAAAAAAAAAAAATCTCTCCTTTTGTTCCAGCACATGGCCTGGTAGGAATACACCAACAACCCAGCTGGGAGAATGGGATGGGAGTAGGCAGCTTGAGTCTCCTCAGAGCACAGCTGTGGGGCATTGTCTCAGTCCCATCCTCAGGACACGGGAGGAGAAAGCCGGGGGGCCTGGGTGAAGGTCAGTGACCACACCTGTGGGCAGGCACTTGCGCTTCCCAGCAGACAGCACAACCAGCACAGCTGTTCACAGCTGCATGGCCCATCCAGCTCTGTGTGAGGAGGCTGGCAAAACACCTTTCTCTGCTGCCACCAGCTTCCTGAGACTCTTACCATACTCCTCTACCCTGAAGGTGCGTGTGAGGCCAGGCATTCTGATGGTGTACTCTCCAAGCGGTGCTTCTGCAGCCAGCGGGAAGGACAGATCCACAATGCCTCCCACGGGTGTAACATCCAGCCACTGTGCAATTCGGTTCCCTTTGGGGTCCTGCACAGGTGGAGCAGACAGCAGTTACTTTCCAGTGCAAAAAGACTCTTTTGCAGGATGTCCAAGACACCAGGGTGTGGTCTGACCACATATTCTCTTGTGCTGAGAGCCCAGGTCTATGACACAGCTACAGTGCTCAGGTAAGTCCAAGCTCAAAGAGGAAAGGACTTTTCTCCTGTCTCACTGACAAAGAAAATCTATCATATCATTGTTCCCTGGTGGCACTGCCATCTCTGACTGCAAAACTGTTGTTTACTGCCTGCCTGTCTCACTAAGAGAAAGAAGTGGTCCTTCTTGGAGACCTCTGTGGTCATCTGAGCTGACACAGTCCACAAGGTCACTGTGGAGACATTCTGCCTAAGGCACAAGCTACTGGGGATTGATGTCTTGAATCCACAGGAAACAATGGGGAAGTGGTGCAGGACTCCATGCAGGGGAACCATTGAGGCCCAGTCATGAAGGACAGTGCTCTCCCACTGCTGGTTCTGGGAGGGCAAGGTGCAGAACTCTAGGCACAGCCACACTGCCCAGCCAGTAGGAGCTTTGTGATGAGTTGATGGGACTGTTCCCATTCCTTCTGAGGTAACTGACTTTCTGCATTGATATTTCCCAACCACTATCTCCAAACCTGTGTCTTCCCCATGGTGAGAAGAGTTCATCACTTACAGTAAAGTAGGAGTTTTACCTTCAGTTCCACCAGGCGCTGCTGTGAGGAGAAAGCAACAGTTACTGGTGGGATGCTTTCAGGTAAGTTACCATCCACCTCCCCGGTATTTTTTATTTCCCCAACCATCCACCAGTCTTCTCTAAGCCATTCCCAGGGACTGCCCATAACCCATGAGCAGGTCCTGTCTTGCAGGTGGTGCCCAACACTGCTTGTAAGCACCAAAAGCAATTTTGAGACCTGCTGTACAAACATCTCCTGGCTGGGCCAAGCACTGATCTAGAAGATGTGCAGGCAGCTCGTAACATTTCCAGACTTCAGGTAGCTTCCCTCTTGACTTACTGTTTCACTGCTGGCAATAAAGTTCTGATCCAAGGTCACAATCCGCAACTTGACTACAAAGCAAAAGGAAAACAGGCTGGCTGAAATTAAATCAAGTCTCTCAATAGTAAATAACAAGAACACATGGCTAAGAAAGATGTGTACGTGTGCTTTCCTGAGAGGATGAGGGCAGCAGATAGAGTCATCCACTCCTAGGCCTATACCCAAAGCCCTGCTAGGAGCTGGCAGCCTGCTAGAAAAAATGTGTTAGGAGAGGCAGTGTGGGGCTTTCTGGGAAAGCTGGCTGTGCTGGTGGGAAAGAACATTTTTCTGGACACTGGACCTGTGGTGGGCCACTCAGTCTTGCCTGCAGTGAAGGCCATCCCAGTGGAAAGTGTGGAGAGGCTTGGGGCAAACAGCTGAAACCTGTGGTGATCTGAGCTGTGCAAGGGCAGTGGTGGGACCCGTGGGACTGCAATCCTCACCTGAGGAAGTCTAGGCAGAAGAGAGGGACTGAGAGCCCTGACAGACAGACACGGCTTTGACTGGAGCAATCATGAGTGTAACACTGTGGCTTCTAAATCTTTTCTCACACATCAAGGAAAACACACAAGCCCTGTTCACAGTGGCATACAGCACGCTGACACAGGAGAGAGATATTCCCAAACCCCTCAAGGCCTAGAAGGAAGCCTGTGGCCCATCTCCCTTCCCGAGCAGGTCCTGCTCAGAGGACTAGAGAGTACCCCACATTTTGTGGCCTGAGGATCACTCTGTCTCTCACAAGACATGGCATTCTGTCCATACCAATCTGTCCAGGTTTGTACACAGGTCTGTCTGTCTGGATAAAAGTCTTCTTGTCTGCATGCTTGATTAGGACTTTCTGTTTCTTCTGGAACTCTGAGTTGGCTTCCATGACTGTGATAACAACAAAAGCCACTTCCTCAAGGTTTCCAACAGGAGGAGGGACCTGCAGGTATAGTTATAACCATTCAGAGTGGATCCCATTCACTGATCCCGAAGTTTTTGGAATAAAAATTGTGATATAACTTTTGGGTTGCTTTTGTTCTTCTTGTCTGGAAAGACTTCACATAACATTTCTAGAAGGGGGAGCTATATAGCAGAGAGGACAATGGCAGGCTGAAGCAGAAGATTCACTGGCCAATTAAGATGTCCTCATGGGAAGGCACAACTCTTTGCATTCCTGCACAGCAAGAGCAGAACTCATACAATATCCACCCTAGTGAGAACCCTTGAAAGTATCTTCCTCACCTGGAAGCTTGTGCAATGAAAGAAAGGGAACTGAGAGATGGACTGAGTGATCAGAGTCTCATTCCCAGCTCTGCTTTGCAAGGTGACCGACACATGGATTGGGACTGCTTGCTCTCTGCTGAGCTGGAGACACACTGTCTCTGAGAAGGGGTAGTAGAGCTGAGATGGTATTGCCACAGCATAGTTTCTGAAAAAAGAAAAAAGACAGGTTAATCAGACTTTCTGAGAGGGCAGGTTTTGACCTGTATTTGGGTACTTCCTAGCAGACTTCTGGTCTCTTCACTCTGCTGTAATGACACCTGTGGGACATGACACTGTTCTCATCTACGGGTACTGCAGACATTGACAGTGAGGCAGCACTGTATGCTGCATGCACATATAAAATTATAAAGTCACTGCCTTACAAACTGAAAGTGAAAATAAGGTGAAGGGACCTCCCCATCTCACCCGAGGGATCAGCACCAGCTTGGCTTTCTTGCAGGTTTCCCAAGTCTTCAATGCTTTCACTGAACTACACTACATTATCACCACCAGTTTTGTTGGGTGGTTTTCACATTACTCTTGGCTCAGAAACAATGCCCTCTGCAAGGGACCCAGTGTCCCAGCTTCATGTCCCAGCCACAGAGACTCAAGAGCACCTTCACTTCAGCTCCTGACACTTCTGTCCTCTTTGCTCTCTACTTGCTCTCCCATCTCTGCATCTACTCCAAGCCGCGTCCATAACACCAAAAAGTTGTTCACAGTTTGTTTGTTCCCATCTTTTACTGTACTGTAGCATCTAGGACCAACAAAAAGCCAACATTCAAGCAGATTTCAAAATTCTTATCACTGACTCCTCCCACTCAGTGCCTCTGGACAGGCTCAGCCAGCAGCATGTTTTGCAGGAAGCAGAGGGCAGGGCCTGGAAAGATCAGAAAAGCAGGAGGAAGGGAGGTGACCTGCTGGCAGTTTTCAGCTGGAGCTCATCACCCTGGCGAGAGGGAGTCAAAGTCCTGCTGGCCAGGAGCCTGTGACTGCTGTCACACTTGAGTGCTGCCAAGCTGCCTTAGGATCTCAAAACACATAAAAACAACATCTTGTTTTTCCTACTTGAGCTGAGTCATGGGACCTCCCTCTTGCCACTTGTGCCAAAGGATGGGATGAGCACTAAAAATTCACTGCTTGAAACCTCCCATACCCCCCTTGCTTTTAATGATCCTTTACTCTGGAACATTTTCTTACACCCCTTTAACATTTCATCCCTTGTCCTTGCCTTCTGAGCTACAAAAGTAAGAAAGAACATCTCTGGGGCAGTCATCCAAGGGTCCCAAAATCCAAGCTGGATCATGAATCTATGAAAAAAATGGAATACAGGCAGGACAGCAGACAACCTGTTGAAGCAAGTGGTATTTCTGTAAAGCAAAGCTTCATGCTGAGAGTAACAGTGGCAAGCAGACAGCAGTAAAACACATCCTTTGTGTGGGAGCTTGTCAGCCTGTGGAACATGTCCTAGAGGAAGTACTCCCACTGGAGAAGGTTTTTAAAACTAGGCTTGTACACACCATGCCACATGCAGCAGGAGGGAACCCAGCTACAACCCACTGCCATCTTTTTCACTGTAACATCTACTGCTCAAGCACAGCCATGCTTCTGTTTGCACTTGTGCCATGGCTGCAAAAACAAACGCCTTCAAAAAAAGCAAGAACAAGTTCACAAGCCAGGACATCGCAGCAGTGTCTGCTGGAACAGGAGCTGCATTCCTGACAAAGTATATGAAGAGAAGCTGTGCTGGGAATTGTCCTTGAGAGAGGTCTGAGGAAAGGCGTGGTGGGAGCAGATGGCCAGCCAAGCCTGAACGAACACGCTGCTGTACCAAGAGCATCCCTACCAGATACTTGGGCTCATGGTTGCTCACTTTGTAGAGACACTCAGCTTTGCAGGCTAAACTGTTAAATGGTGACCTGTGACTCTGGAAGAAAGGCTTAGCCCAAAGTAAACATATTCTGGAACACAGTAGGAGACGTGAGATATTGGAAGGTCAGAATTAAGCACATGCAGAAAGCTGGAAGAGTCGTTCTGCCTGAGTCCTTGCTGAAATACATGGTCTACATCAAAGGCACTAAAGGAAGAGCCAATTAGCAGGGGGAATGTGGGGAAAGGGCACATGGAAACCAAGCAAAACCTTGGGAACCTGAGAAATTATGTCTCCCTGGAAAAACACTCCTCACCTTAAGACTCCTGTCCCATTTCTGTCATATACTGCCACCCCCACCAGGATCCCTCACAGACCAGAGCACATTTGCAAAGCGGCGAAGTTCTTACAGCATTGCAGGCATTCCAGCTGTGCTAGGCAGGAGAAGGATGCAGCCCCACAGGAAAATGATCCTCCACATAGCTGATTGCAGGTCGAATTCCACCAGGGAAAGCTTAGCCACTCCTCAGCACCCCCTTCTCCCCTGCTCCTGCTGTCTTCCTTCTCCCCCTCATCCAGAGCCGAAGGAGCACGCAACTCCTGCCCTGACCAGACGCTTGTTCCTCCCTTGGCTTCAAAACCAAGGTGGAGATCGGGCTGCTCGTGGCTGGAATGTGGGCGGGAGAAAGGGGTGGTGACAGTGCTCACTGCCTACAAGCCAGAGGCAGCTGCTTCCAGGCTCTGTAAGGCTTGTTGCTGTTTCTCTGGGACAGGGCTTGTCTGCCTTAGTCAGCACAGCTGCTGGCAGCAGGAGTACTTAGTTACTGTATTTGGTACAGGGGCCCAATTTTTAATTTTTTTTTTCCCCAGTTTTTTACTGGGGCGTCATCAGAAACATTTGGATACAAATTAATTCTTTGCGATGTTGGTGGATTTTTCTCCTCGGTTCTTCGGTAGAACTTCGTGGGTACTATTTGCTTCTTACTGAAATTTCAATCCTGACCTGCAGCCTCCAGCTGGACCAGTCCAGGACTTCACATGCAGCTCTGCCAGTATCCCCATTCCTTCCTGGAGGAAGGGAAGAACTTTAGCATTTTATGATCTTTTGCTTGTCTTTGTGTTTTTTGTCTCACTAGTTTAGACTTGAACTCAAACCCCATTTTAATTTTGGAGGCTGAAATGTGCTCCCAGATCACTGACATACAGTGCTTTAAACCCGAGGTTCATCTGCAATGTCAGTGCTAGGTTAAAGGCTGGTGTGCCCCTGTTACATCAGGGACTGTGGTTTAGGAGAGTGGGTGCTAAGCACACAGATGGGGACTGTGCCAAAGTAAATCCAGGGGATTGCTTCAGCCGGGAGCAAGGCATGGGTGGATGGCAAATTCTCTCTGTGCTTGTATACCTTTGGTTGTGCTCTGCTAAAACACAGCAGGGGCCAGGACAGGATGAGGATGTCCACCACCTTCAGGTGAGGTTGTAACTAGAGGGCAAATTCATCCAAGCCCTGTGCACTTCACTGCTGCCACTCAGGAGGTGGAAACACGAGGGTGCAGTGCCCAGGAACAGTCTGGGGGAGAGGGGTGGTGGTGTCAGTGTAGAATTACCTTATGGCAGGGGGAATCTGTCAGAAGACTGGGCATCCAGCTTGGGCACATGTAAAGTAGAGATTTGATAAAATATATGTGAACTTAAAGTGTCATGCTTTATTTGGAAAGGCTGAAGAGTGGAACTATGAGAGGAGTTGGCATAGCAGGAGCTACCCTGGAAAAGATTCTGTACCCAGGAGGATCAGACAGGCTGGGATGGACGGGTGGACACAGGTAGTGATGCACTGAATGGAGGTGATTTGAAAGGTTTTTACTCCCACCTTATGAGGAGAAGATCACTAACGTTGTTTTCTTCAAGCTGAGGTCAGTAGCTGATGTGCAGATTTGGCTGTCATCAGATACTACAGCCAGGATCCAGACCAGTCACAGATGAGATGAGACTCTCCCAAGTGCCCTTCAGCTTGAGTTAGAGATGTATTTCCACATATCCCTTCCCAGTGTGCTAGCACCCACGGCCTGGAATACCACCTGAATGTAAATGTGGGTGGAGAACTGTGCTATGTGACCTTCACTCTGCTCTTGGTGGGAGCAAGTAAATATTAGCTCATGTCATTAGCCTAGAAAAGATACCATCTCCATATATTAACTCCCCTACTCTTTGAACCTAGGAGTATCTGAGGGGGTATTTAGGATTGCTCCAACCCATCAGTATATGCAGTTCTCTCCTCCAGTGTGGATCTTGTCAGCTTTCTGTCCCAGCCCAAGCAATGGGAGCACCGCTCCTCCTCTTAGCCCTGACCCTATTCCCAGTTGCAGCTGCAGCAAGCCTGGAACCGTGAGACTCTCTCCTTTTGATTTTGGGGGGCTTGGTGGAAGGGTCTGTCCTTGAAGGGTGGTGCTGAGGGGCTGCACTCTTTGGCACCCCAGAGCTGGATGGTGGGGTCCTGGCTCGCAGGGAGGCTGAGCAGAAGCAGCTCCTGCAGAGCCCCGGGCATCGAGCACTGCAGTGCTGGCTTGTGCAGGAGCTGCACTGCACACACCACAAAGCTACAGAGGCCACAGGAGCTCTGCCTCTTGCGTGCTGTGCTGGTGGGGGGAAGTCTGGTGTGAGGATGGAAGCCTAATTCCTCAGCCACTGAATGTTTGGCTTCTTTGGCTTCCTCACACAGCCTTGCTCTGTGTACTCGCAACTGGGCAGCTGTGTCCTGGCTGGTGGCAGGGTGGTGAGAAATTGGGAGTTCTCTACACTGGGCATATTCCTCCTTTCTTCTTTGAAAAGGAGCTTAAAAGTGCTAAACTTCCTCCAATGCAGTCCCCCAGACATTTCTCACCCTTAGTCTACCTCTTCATGAAAGCAGCAGAGATGGATTCTGACCCATCCACCTCAGCCTCTGACTTGTTTTTGAACATGTGCTGGTCTCTTCTAGTCACTATATGGTGGTGTTCCCCGCTGTCATTCAGCAGTCCCAGGAGGAGAAGCTCTACATTCACTTCAGCTCCCTAACGGAGGCTGTCCACCTGGCTGTCACCTTGCAGACAAAAACCCAGAATCACACTCTGCTGGAGCAGGACGTGGAGAAGCCAGGCACTTTTCAGAGCATCACCTTCCAGGTGAGTATAGATGTGATTTGACAGGGGATGTTTTTACGTTTACACAAGAGCACGGCACTTCTCTGGGTACACTGTCCTTTTCCTTGCCATAGGTTCCAAGCAGGCTAAGTACATTTCCCTACCAGTGCTAGGCAAAATACAACAGTGTCCTGGAGTCTAAGACAGTAGGGCATCTTTTCTATGTATAAAAAGATTTTTATAGAAAAGAACAAATTTCTTTTGATCTGTATCAGCACATTTCATCCTACTTAAAGCATGGTGCTGAACATTTATTTTCAGTTTAATCAGTGTTTTGTCCCTAAAAGTGCTTGTATATCACAGCAAAAGTCAATGCATTGCAAATACATTCCTTTCATCCTTGTTCCCTCAGGAGCCTGCCCCCTCAGCTCCAAGAGGACCATTCTGCTCTAAAGCTGCATCTGCATTGCCAGATGTAGTTGCAGCCTGCATAGACATTGAGCTTGCTTTAATTTGGCTGTGATGGAACTGAACCCACAATGAACTGAATTTCACTGAGGCAGTCTGGGTATTTCTGGAGTGGCTTGAGTTCCTGTCACTGCTGACTGCTGTAGTTAGCTTATCTAGACACTGACTACAGTATTTTCAGCTAGGTTTCTGGAGAGCCATGGAGATGTGTGTGGTGCTGAGGCTCTACAAACTGCCCCTGTCTTCCTCAGCACTGCAAAAGTCACTGTGCCTATGCCCTGATTGCCCTGCAGACTCAGCAGACTTCAGGGAGGGGCTGTAGTCACTTCTGGTTTTTACATCAATGTGACAATGATTAACTAAGAGTTTGGTGCCAGCCCTTAGGAGAGAGCAAGTCCTGGTTCTGGAAAGCCAAGGAAGTCTGTTTTGCTGTTAGCAAAAAATAAAAACCATCAAAAAAGTCTTTCTCCTGCTGAGCTCAGTCTCTCTGATGCTGAGATGTCCAGTGTTTGCCTCATCAGTATCCCATCTCCCGTTCCTTCAGATCTGACTTTCCTGTGGTTTACTTATTTCCATACAACTCTCACATTTATGTTAAGTGAGAGAATGACATGTTGGTCAGCTCACTATTAAGTTCATGAACAAGGCAGTGACTGCTTCTCCCTAGAATCACAAGTGGGTTACAGAGTCATACTGAAGAATTTGGACTCTGAAGTTCTGGGAGTTTCTAACAGTGAGATGATGTCTTATGTCTGTGATAAGATGCAAAGTTTCTGATTACATTTTTCCATTTCCTTGTGTCAATCAACCTAGGTGCCAGATCTCATGTTAATTCCTGATGAAACAGATGATTCTGAGACACAGGTAGGACATGTCTCTTGTCTGCCTCTCCTCTTACAAATTAGAGGGCTTCAGACTCTCCTGTTCCTGAGCCATGTTAATGCTGGAGATGCAGGGTGGGAAAGGTAATAAAGAGGAAAAATAAATGTGCAAAGAGGCAAACAGGACAAGCAGAGAGGCAAAGAAAAGGGAATGAAGAAGCTGGACAACAAAAAGAAGTCTATGACTGGGGAAAAGAGAGACTTAAATCACAGGAGATGAAAGGAGGAGGGGGACATTGGAGACTTTGGAAGGACCAGTGCCTCTGGTTCTCTTTCAAGCTCTTTGTAATTTGAGGTAATTTTTTTTTTTTTTTAACCTGACAGTCAGAGGAGGTGGCTTTTCTGCATGTCCTGATCCACAGTGGAGACAATGTGCTCCTTGAGGGTGACAAAAAAGTTCTGGTCAAGCCCCAGAAGAATATAATTCTGATAGAGACAGACAAGGGCTTATACAAACCTGGAGAAACAGGTAAGACAAGAAGGCGGCGTATGGAAATGGGGAGGGAAAGGTCAAGATAGCAGCCACACCTGGAGGGAAGATTTCACCAAGTGCAGCAAGCTAAGGCTGTTGGAGATGGAAGGAAACAGATCTCTACTATCCAGAGTTTCTAGGAACAGTTTGAGCCAGGATGTTTCCCTCCAAGGTGTGCTACACCAAATTCCCAGCCTGCTGCTCCTGGGTGTTGTTTTGGTGCCACATCTCTAGTGAGACCTAAAGGGAAAGCCAGGACTCTCCAGGACACTGGACAGCCTTGAAGACTGTTGTTCATATTTGAGTAAAACCTAGAGTGTCAGTTCCAAGCTGTAGAATTACAGAGTCCCCACAGTCTTCACAATAGGAATGGACTGCAGACAGACCCCACTACAGACAAGCCCACGGTTTACCCTAGCTTTGCAATCTCTCTAGGTAAAGGCAGTGGGGTTCTGCAGCACACAGCTGTGTACAAGCCTCCCAGACAAAGCCCTCTGGGGTGGGAGGTGCTGGGGAGGGCTGTTTGGGAAAAGACCTGAGCATCTCTGAGGTAAACAGAGAGACATGAATACTGGAGCATGGAGAAGGAGAAGCAGGTTTGTGCAAGGACACGATGCAGCCAGAATGCTTTACTATGTTTTTCTTCATATCTGCAGTGAAATTTCGAATTG